CGGCTTAAGCTTGGAGCCATGTTTCAAGAAATATCACCAGTAAGAGAGGCCTATCACAAGGATCTTCATGTGGGATCAAACGTGCTTTATTATGAATGTTCAAAATAATGTTGCATCTAAATGCAGCCTCCATAAATGTTAACTTGTATGATTATTTTTAAGTATTATTCAGTCTTACTATTTTCACTTCATGTTTAGTAACCAATTTCTCATTCAAACTATAAAAAATAAAAAATGTAAAAAAATATATAAATACTAGCTGTACCCGCGGGCTTTGCCCCGTTTAATTTCTTAATTTTCAAGATGAGCTCATTCGCATGGCTCAATCACGTCCTGGTTGAAGTTCGTTCGCTACGCTCACTCACCTTTAAGTTGGAGCTCGTTCGCTGCGCTCACTTGCCTTCAGGTTAGCTCGTTTATTACGCTAACTCGCCTCCAGGTAGAAGTTCGTTCGCTACGCTCACTCACCTTTTGGTTGCAAATTAGCTGTTGTCATAAATTTAAAAAAATAATAGTGCTGCACCCTGTTGGTAATCCTTGTAACTTCAATGCTATTGAACATCATAGAACAGAACCAACTTGTTTAATTGAAACAGCTGTTAAGATTCATTCATTCCTTTTCAATATGAAAAATCATAAGGTTAACATGGGAAACTCCAGAGCCACTGGGGCGGAGCCCGAAAGCCCGATCAGAATAAAAACTACTTAGTTTTCCTATTTAATGCCCAAAGAATCGGTGTACCCAATTTCAGCCTCCTAGGTAAATGGGAAGTGGGAGGATTAGTGATGAGTGAGTGAGTGTGTCAGTGAGTCAGTGAGGGCTTTGCCTTTTATAAGTATAGATATTCATTCACAAATGTTAACTTGTACGGTATGATTATTTTTAAGTATTATCCAGTCTTACTATTTTCACTTCATGTTTTGTAACAAATTTCTCATTCAAAATATTAAAAATAAAAAATGTAAAAAAATATATAAATATATTCAAAGGAAAAAGGACTTGTTTTCTCTTTGTAGCAACCGATTCATACAAAGACGCCTATAGGCGCCCGCAGCATCCAACACCAAAACTCTCAAAATTTCTTGCTGGGGGCTGTGGACACCCATAGGCATCCATATATAATTTATATATAGGCTATATTTTACATAGAGTAAAAGCTTTGGCATGAATAAACTTATTTTAATTTCTTTGAAAAAAATAATGATGCAGCCACTGGGGAATGGATCGTGAATTCTTCTATAGCAGTGAACGTGTTAAAATGAGGTATAATAAACCCCCCTTTACATTTGAAAATTTCCCAAAAACCACCGCCACCCCCCTAAATCTGCCCTTTGGGGTGCTTTTTGGGTTTGGAAATAATTTAGCTGAATTCCTTGGGGTCAAAATAGGGCGTTCCAGTTGCAATTAGGTTTCCATTTGCTTTCATATTGGAGCTATAGAAGCCGGCCAGGTGGTCTGAGACACCCTGTATTATAACTAAATGATGAATGATGCCAGGAGTAGAAAGTATTATATATTATAGGAAGAAACTATTCACAATATTTTTGTAAATGTTTTATATTTAGGTGATAGTGTATGGAATTGCCAATTTAATAATTTACAATATGAACAAAAAACCATACTTCATATTTTGAAACAGTTTGTGGCTTTGTGATGTTGCTGTAAGTAAAATAAAATAAAAGTTTCTAAATACCAAGCAAAAATGGTAGACTATTAAGTGAAAAACTATATAAAATAGATCAAAATAGCTTTAAGACAAAAATAAAAATAGTTAATTAAATTAGGTCAATTGTAGACTCTGCGTATTCTATATAAGATTGCCTAGGTCCACATTTGGTAAATTTTTATTTACTGGTTAAGCTAATTTAAATTCCGAAAAAGGTTGGGCATAGGAGTGTTTACAATCTCTTGGTGTTCCAATGAAGAGTGGGTTCTCTTTGTGTGTTTGTTCTGGGTGATTCCAAAAAGAATTAATTGAACCAAAGTTTTACACCAGTGTAACATGGACCTGCCTTAAGTTCAAAGGTCTAAAATAATCTCTGGTTACACACAAGGTGGAGCATCTAGGGATATCAATATGGTAAAATTTTGGTAACTCCACCAAGTTTGCGAGTGTGCTCAGAGTCAATCTTATTACAGTAGAGTCTTGCTATTCTGAACTTACTGGGACCGAACCGTGTTCTGATTAGTGGGAATTCGGAATATGCGGATTTCTGTAATAGTTCTTTATCGTGATTGCGGATAATGTAAAAAGTTTTGTCGCGATTGCCGAGGATGATTTCGATTTTGCCGTGGCCTCGCCCTCCTTTTGTTTTCGCTATCACAGAAAGTGTCTGTGAAAATGCACGATAACAAATTATTCTGTGATGGTTTTGCAGCAATCACGGAAGACAATGATAATATCTCTGATCTCTGTGAAGCAGAAGATGTATCCAATTTTGCCAAGACCACAAAAGGTGTTTTTGATTTCATGTTAGGTTCGTACTAACATCCATTTAAAAATAATTTCCGAACCTTGGTTCGAAAAAGGTGGATTTTTTTAATAACGGGGTTTGGGATATCTGGATTCTACTGTATCATAAGCTAAGCCACAAAATTGTAGCAGTTTAGTGATATTACTTAATTTGATGTCATCACAATTTTGGTAACAGTACTAGCTTTGCCAACTTTAGCTACATCACCAATAACACTGAAGGATTGTAACGGTTTAACAATGTGAAATGCATTTTTGTCAGTCCTGATATTGCAAAATTAAACACAATTTTTCATATACATAATGATCACAAAAGCAGCATTGTAAACAAGGGTTTTGTAGCCTAGGTTTGGTCACTCTTACAATATAAGTTTGGTCGCATTTACTATATTTCACTAGTTAGTAACGGTTTAGAGATTCTAGAATTTAGTAGGTTCGGCTAGATATTGAATAACATATATATGCTTAGGTAAAAAACTTTTCATAAAAAACAACAAAAACATTGTTTTAATTATTTAACAGAAACTATAGTGTATAGGGCAATTTATAATGACTGACTAAATGAATGAATGAACAGTATTATTTTAAAAAAAACTTCCAAAAAGGATGAAGTTGTATTTTTTAGTAATTGAATAATTTTGTATTATACATTAAATTTTGCAATCACACTTTAAACTAATATATATACAATATTATTTACAACTAACTAGATTTCAGCTAATTATTAAATACCTAACTATCATTAGCTAAAACTCAGCTCTAATTTCACACTAATAGTTTGTTAATCTGCTAAATATTGTCATTATACAATGAATGAACATTCAAGTTTCTTTATCACAGACAATCTTATTGGTAAGTTTGTTAAATAGCTTTTCTTTTATTCAATACGACAAATATTTCAGGCGCGACAGTTTTATTAGTTAAATTTCTACTGACTACTGAAATTGTCAGCGGTGCACTAACTACTTTCAGCCAAACCATTCAAGTTCAAACGCATTTTAAAGAGGAATTATCGATTGCTTTGCAAAGACGTGCAAAAACCTGCATTCAGGATGAACCAACTAATTATTTCGTAGTGAGCCCAAAAATGAAATCAACTGTTACGAGTGCCATGCGGTTAGTATCACCAGATACCTTAAATAAATAACTCGTCAGAGCTATTTTGTTTTGTCAGGCGTTGAATTATTTGTATAGATGAGGCCCTATTTCTTTTCTTCTTTGGGTAAACAATTTCATGGAAATTCTGAAATCATTACGTATAAGATGCATGTTGTTCTAATGTTTACAATCATTAAATCATTGTATAGAATCATATAGTTTATTTTATCATAATGCAATACTATTGTGTTCTTGTTTTTCCAACGTCATCTGAAATAGCATAAAAGTAATTAATTTAAAAAAGAAGTTTAATATTTGGCATATATTATGGGGGGCCACCAGTAGATCGACAATTTACTTCGTCATTAGGCCACTAGACCATCTTTAAAAAATTAAATATATAAATATGAGAAACCTTCGTCGACAAGTTATTTCATCAAAAGTACCACTGACCGGCTGGTAAAATTAAATAATTAAATGCTAGAATCATCTTCTCCAATTTACTCGACTGTCAGCACACTTCGTCGTCTTTTAGGTGGGGATGGGTAGAACAGCAGCGTGCGCAGCTGTGGAAGCTGCTGCAGGCGTACCTTGTGGTGTATCTTGTAACGGTGGGTTTTATGGACTGGATAAACCCGCCGCGTATCTAACCTATCATTGAACACCAATGTGGCTAGTATTTTCAGTTGGCAATACTGGCTTCTAGCCTCGAGTGACGTTGTTCAACAACTAGATTCGCTTCCCAATCCTGGGTTATCCCGGTTAGGGGATTCTCGTATTTAATAATTTCATTTTACAGGCTGGTCAACAGGACTGAAGATGAAATAAATTTTCAACGAAGAGGTTTTTCGTATATATATATTTAATTTAAAAAGACAATCTAGTGCCCTGACAACAAAGTAAATTGTCAATCTACTGGTAGGCTCCCATATTATATCCCTCATAATTAAAAATAAATCCACTACAGTATATTCTTATATTGTATTACATTAATTACTATCTGAAGGCAACTATTATATTAGGAATTTAATGTTGTATCTTAAAAACCAAAATCTATGATAAATCAACTAGCTAAATCCAATGGTTTAAGGACTGCATTAGGAAATATTCAAGTCACAAAAAAATAATAAAAAAATTTAAGCTTACAATTGTTTACAAAGTTTTATGCTGGAAAACATATTCACAAGATTATTAAGGTGTTTATACAACTTCTGTTCAATTATTGTTCATAAATCAAAAATGTACTTTATTACACTTCTTCTTAAAAGAAATCTCACATAACATCTGTGGGTAAACGAGAAAATTACTTTAAAAAAGCGAAATTAGGAGCAAAACAACAAAAATTTGGGGATTCAACACAAAATTTCTGATTCATGTACAGGATTGAATCATATTAATGCCGATAACAAGTCAAAACAAAGCTCTTACTTGGGATTGGGTGCGTGTGATGTCTGGTGAGCCTTGACTTCTTGTATCATCATCGTAGGTGTGGAGTAGCTGAAACAACAATCGAGTTTGAGTTTACCACACATCTGCCATCATGTATTTAGCTCAACAAAATAATGTACATAATATGTATTTATGTATCGTAATGTGGTTTTATCCACACACTTTTCAACGGATCTTGATGAAACTCGGTATACTAATATGTAGGGGTCTGCAGTACACCGAAAAAGTCGGTACGGTACAAGCTTAATTACTGTCATCGGTTCGGTACAGGTTATAGATATTTTATCTTTCTATTGACGAAACCACAAGCATAGTTGTTGTTGTTTGCATAATTTTTTTTCGTTATGCAAGCCTACTCGGTCTCAAATTATGTCATTGCACGTTCTGTATCTTGTCTTATATTGTTAGATGTGGCTGTTTAAGGCTTAAATGTTTTTTAGTTTCCTGTATTTTGTATTGTGTTGAAGGTACTTTATGCAATCTAAATCTTATGAACTAGATAGTGATTTTGGTACCCTCATTGTAATGTAACCTAATCAATTTATAGGCAATTTATTTAGGCTATTTATTTATAGGCCCTCCTAAATAATTAGGTCTAAGCCTGGGTCTTTTGATTCTTTGGAAGAGCTTTAAAATATACTAAGAAAATTGGATTGAGCCTGGGATAAACTAATGATTGATATTGTGGATGTTAACTTTGTAAATGAAAAGACAATAATCTTACTCTGTGAATCCAAATTTTAGTTTCAGAAAAAACCTTTGCAAGAGTTGTATCCATCTTATAACTAGTTTTGAAGCTGGTGCTCTTTGCCATTACTTCATCATAACCTCCAGTTTTTCATTGTCGTCTGCTGTGGACAGATGGCAACTACCCTGTCTTCCCTGAATGCTTTTATATGTTTTTAAAAATTTTTTAAACAACTAGACATTGTGTTGGATGGAAATAATTTACCAGTTGTGTGAAATTATCTTGTTAATAAATGTTTCAAACATGTTTATTCCTAAAAACTCTTATCCTATTTTCAAACCACTTTATCATGACTATTCAAAGTATCTCAGAGTAAAATAGGTAAAGCCTTTATCTTAACTGGGATTTTTCTTGACACAATCCTCGTAGTAGTAAAAGGTTTTGTTTTAATAATGTGTGGTACAGTAATTGTTGTTAGAAAACCATGAATGTAGGATACTATCCATTTTCATAGTAATGTCAATGTATTAAAGTTAAAAATAATGGTTTAAATACAATTCTGAGAAGAAAACCGCAAAAAAAAATACAGGTAGCCGCGTACCGTACCGATTTTGTACCGAGAACCGAGGTACAAAATATTGTACAGTACCGACCTTAAATTTTCTGTACCGCAGACCCCTACTAATATGCGTTAATTATGATGTCTCTACCTTTTAAAAAAAGTCTAAAATTAAACTGTTACAAATACCAAAAAATCTTTCTTGAAACACGTTTTAAATAATCTTTTTCCTAACTGCAAAAACAATAATTGGGGTGGGGAAATGGAGACCCATCGAAGAGCACAATCGAATGAACATTTAAGCTATCAAACTACGAGAGAAGAATGAAGTGAGATGCCTAGAGAAAATATGTTACTGACCAAGATCAGCTGTTTCTTTTAGGAACATTTATTATAAAGCCCTGGGGTCAGGTCTGAACCATTAAATGACTCTCCTTAGGTGCAAAGTAGTGATGGGTCGGTACTTAATGTATGTCAGTACTAAATGTGGGTTCCACCGGTTCTTGGGAAAAGTACCGGAACTGAGAATCGTTAGTGAAATGTCAGTACCGATACCTTCGGTACCAAGTTAATTGGTTATATTTTTACTTACTCATTTACAAAATTCAAATTGACATGATGATTCATGATGATTATTTTTCACTTATGGCTATTTGAAAGGGCATATTTATCATGAAATATCATCAATAGTAGGCTATAGGATGATTATTTCAGTATTAGGTTAAATTGTTGTCACTATTGTCAGCTGAAAGAGTGGTGCAAACATCAACACCAATTGCTCCAACATCTTCAAGCAGAAGACAGAACCAGAAGGCAATCTTAATAGAGAGTCTTTAAGCTTGCCTTCTGGTTAGACTGGATCAAATAAATGATTTATTTGGAATCATCAAAATTATTACACTACCTTAAAACCATCCTTTCTATATCTGAGGTTGATTGTTGATTATTAATAACATTAGTATTTTAAAGGGAAAAAAGGCAACTTGGCTTTAAATTCCTTTCTTACAATAATTTTAGGGATGGACGGGTCCCGAAATTTCGGGAATTTTTCGGGAAAAAAATATTCCCGATTATCGGGACGGGATTACATTTGACTCGGGAATTTTTCGGGACGGGATTTGGTCCGATCGTCGGCGATTTTTCGCTTCGCGAGTGCCGATAACGCCGTTATTGCGAGCGATAGGTCCGCGAACGCAGGAGACGAAGTCATACCGACGATCGCGCCGTGACCGCGGAGTCCTACCGACGATCGCGCCGTGACCGCGAGTCATACCGACGATCGCGCCGTGACCGCGAGTCATGAGATCACGCCGTGACCGCGGAGTCATGCTGACGATCGAGCCGTGATCGCGAGTCATACCGACGATCGCGCCGTGACCGCAAGTCATACCGACGATCATGCCGTGACCGCGAGTCATGACGACGATCGCGCCGTGACCGCAGAGTCATACTGACGATCGAGCCGTGATCGCGAGTCATACCGACGATCGCGCCGTGACCGCGAGTCATACCGACGATAACCCCGTGACCGCGGAGTCATACCGACGTTCGCGCCGTGACCGCGAGTCATACCGACGATAGCGCTGTGACCGCGAGTCATACCGACGATCGCGCCGTGACCGCGAGTCATGGCGACGAAAGCGCCGTGACCGCGGAGTCATGCTGACGATCGAGCCGTGTTCGCGAGTCATACCGACGATCATGCCGTGACCGCGAGTCATACCGACGATAACCCCGTGACCGCGGAGTCATACCGACGATCGCGCCGTGACCGCGGAGTCCTACCGACGATCGCGCCGTGACCGCGAGTCATGACGACGATCGCGTCGTGACCGCGAGTCATACCGACGATCGCGCCGTGATCGCGAGTCATGACGACGATCTCGCCGTGACCGTGAGTCATACAGACGATCACCCCGTGACCCGCGAGTCACAAGTTACTATAGGTACCTGTAAATTGTTACCCATTTTTTGGTTTTTATAGATCAGTGCCACAAATGGTAAAAATTGATTTCGTATGTCTTTTTTTGGTAACTGCAATACAGTACTTTCTTTTTATGCACAGAAAAAAATCCCGTCCCGTCCCGTCCCGAAAATTGGGAAGGAAATAAAAATCCCGTCCCGTCCCGAACTAAAAATTCAATCCCGTCCATCCCTAAATAATTTCTTATAATTAATAGCATTAATAATAGTTACGAGTAACAAGATTATTTTATTTAATTCATTAAGTTTTTTATTTGACTTTGTTTTTTACTAACTATGGAAATACAAAGCAAAAAATAATTTATAAATAAAAATACTTCTTTAAAATGCCACGTTTTTAAACGCACTAAAAAGTAGAAAATAATTTATAAATGTGTGGAGAGAATAAATACTTGTAAGATTTAAAATGAAAAACGTGGGGCGCATGCTAATTTACAATTATCTTCATCTATTGAACAATTATTATCTATTGCATGCACCCGTTTTTCGTTTTGAATCTTATAAGTATTTATGGTTAATACATAACCAAAACCCCATTATCTGTAATCAGATGTTTTATCCTTACTTTCAAATGCTTGTTTTATATTTTACTAGCAGTTACCCGGCGCGCGTCGCTGCGCTTAACAACTATTATGTTAAATGGTAATTTGTTCTTTACGATGAATAATAAGAGTGTACACAAAAAATAGAATATTTTACTTAAATGCCAGTGCATAACAATGTTTTTTTGTTTTTTCATTAGGTAAATAAATATATATATTTATAAATATATAAAACTAATATATAAGTTCTTAGGCATACCTACCACCACGTGAGCACGCAACATACAGCAGTCCGTGTGAAAAGCATGAATTTTCTAAATTAAAACCGATGATGGTCAGGGATTGCCCTAGTGCTTTATAATGATGATTGCAAAAGCAAGACACAAAGAGCACGCACGAGTATTATTCACTTAATTTATGTTTGGTTGTGTGGGTACAGAACAAAAGATAAAAATATTAAGGCATTGCTGTCCCTTTTATTGTTTATAATACTTTGATAAAGGTTTTTATGTTTACATATTTAACATTGGAGAGTTTAAACGTTGTTGAGTGCACAGGTGTGCTGCGATCGGGGTTTAATATATTTTGACTTTTTCAAAAGTAAAATTGTTTTCTGCGCTGCACTCTGTGGAAAAATTGTGGCACTGTTTCAAATTATAACTAATACAGCATGTTGTGACTATTCAACATACAAAACAGTTGCCAGTGGTAACAGCTAGTCATATTTTTTGTTAACATCGTAGTTCAAAAAGTCTGACATTGGTCCATTTAAAACCCTCTGGGGCAGAGCCCTTTTGACGGATCTGCACCAAACTTCACACAAACCATTCTTGAAAGATGCTTAATAATGCCTGAAAGTTTCATTACAATCTGTATAGCGGTTTCAGAGTCCATAATGTATATACATATATATACATATATACATAGTTCCTCTTTTATAGATATAGATATTTTAGAATATCTCGGGAGCAGAACCTGTACCTCTTAACCTCTGCTCTTCGAACTGTCAAATTGAAGTACCTATTTACAACTGACTTTTCAATTAAGTTTAATTGATATATTTACATTTGTTCAAAATGTAAAAATTGGAAAATTTGGAAGCCCATGAGAAATATGAAAATAAAATGATATAGTATTGCATTGTCATCCATTTGTGAGCTATGTTTCAAGTTTCAAGTCTCTAGCTCATCGGGAAGTTAGTTAAAATTGATTGCAAAATTTTTACAGGACAAGAAAGCGACCTAATAAAAACGTTAATAAATAGCGCTGAATGTACGACTCGAACCTCAAACTCAGTCCAGTCCAGCAGTGGCTCCAGTGGCTGAATTCATATTTTTACGCACAATGGTTAAATGTTGGGGTATTCATGATTTCGACGAATCATATTGCATTCGATCTGTAACCACCGTGACAAATGGCAAAATTGCGCATTGCACAAGACTACTATTTCAGTTGTCACGTTCAAGGGTAAAATATATTTTTCACCACACTATGATGTTTTTGGCTGTATTACATACGTTAAATGGTGGCTGAAAGTTACGTTTTGCTGGCCATGCCAACTGTCATCGTAATTTGGGGACCGAGCAGGTTTTTACAGCCCGGGGCCGCAAAATCAGCTGTCCGCTTACTTACTTAAAACATGAATGCATTTTAAATACACAATCAAAATCCATAGCATTGCAATAGAATTGTGTTATTGTCACCGTTGCCTAGTAACTATTTATTTTTATTTTTGCTGATTCCTCAAATTATTTCTTCACATAACCTTAAAGTTGTAGTTGTGTTTACTATCAGTGTACATTATTATAGTGGTGAATAGTGGTAATAAGGTTTAGCGTGGTGAAAAATAGCGTTCGTACCACGGACCGAAATGATTTTGCAGCTCTCGATCGATTTAAGTTCTTGACTTCGTCTCGAACTACCACAGCAGTGCTGCTACCAGTGCTAGCAGTGCTATTGGCTACTCGTCACCATCGATATATAACTACTATATATCGATGCTCGTCACATGGCGTGATGGTGATGAGTCATCGATGTGTACTACGTGCCGGCCTAAAAACATTACCCGTTTAACTACGAGCTGGCGGCACCGCGCACCTATGGCGAATGTGTGTGGCCCAGGCTAGTACAACTTGAGTACGACGATGACTATCGCGCTCTCACTCCCATACTATTTTCCGCGTAAACGCCAGCTCCGCCTTACCTGTGCTACCTATTCTTGTCTTAATGAATACATCTGTACTTGATAGCCTACTGACATAAAAAACTTTAAAAATAAATTATTATGGTTGGAGTTTAAGTTTGTTTATCTACATTCTCGGGGGGGGGGGGGGGGGGGGGGGGGCCATGGCCCCCTCTCTGGAACCGCCCTTGTACCGACATTGGAAAAGTGGTACCGGCCCATCACTAGTTCAAACCAATAAAATACTGATTATAAAACGAGCTCCACAATCACACAGATATAATGCTATGAACTCATTTCAAAACAAAAAAATCTATTATTCTGTGTACTGCTGTTGAAGAAATATGCTTTTTACAAAAAAGGATACACCTCGACAGTATACCAGCAAAGGTATCTATTTGTACACCAGCTATTTGTAGGAATTTCTAGTTGCTCATCGACAATATTAATCTAGCTAAAATTCCCTTATTAATTTTAATTAAGTATTGTGCACATTAAGTGTTTTAAACAATGTATTTCCACATTAGCACCTACTTAATCATCAAGTGAAATTATTTTAGTTAAATTTTATGATATGAAATTTGGATTGTACTTCATACCTTCTCTACTTCATCCTCAAAGTTGTCACCGGCGTTGGACTCTTCCTTCTTGCTGCGTTCCATGAGAGTGGCTCGCTTGGCCGCCAGGTAGAAGGAGCGTTTGATCCGCAGGTAGTAGGTGTCAGCTACTGCTCGCACTGTGTAGTCCGGTACGAAGGTGTAGCGCAGTAATGTCTCCAGGTGAACACTTTGCAAGCTACCCAGGGGCTGGGCTGACTGGGCTGTTGGGGACTCTGCTGTACAACCACACACTCACTATCATCATATCTCACAAGATGTCTTATTTGTATTCCACCAATTTACAAACTTGGATACTGCAGAAATGCAGTATGTATTTCAACCAAAGTTATTTATGTCAATTGTAAAGGTAAGAATTTCATTCAAATTTTAAAATATTACAGATAACAGATTCAGTTATTTATAAAGATAACCGTACAGCAAAGTATCAATTTAGGTTTCAAGTTTTAAGGAAAATATATAGTTATGAATTGCTTTTCATAACATAAAGTTATTAATTGAGAATCATGACACAATTTAAAGTGCAGATCACAATGTCCAAACATTATTGAAATCATCTAGTGATAAAAAAATGGGTTAGACTAATAATAACAATGAAATACACTAAAAATGCTCAAAAAAAGGAAGAAGAAAAACTAATAACACTTTTGAATTTAAAGAAAAACATTTAAAATAAATTAACTAAAATAATGTACAGAGAATATGAATAAACTAAAACAATGCAATCACCCTGTTTAGGCTCACCAACGCCAACATTCTGAGTGAGGGCTTGCATGCCGAAGTAAGTGAAGGGACCAGACTCAAATACCAGGTTTTCTCGTCCCATCGTCACCTCCACTCTGCCTTCCAGGATGAGGACAAAGTAATCTGCAGCTTTACCCTGAGAATGAAATACATGAGTGTGGACAATGTTACAGTGAAACTGGGACTACTCTTGTCCCATACCAAGAGGGCTCCTAATAACACCGAGAGTGATATGGAATTAATCTAAAGGCTATTAATTGTTGAAATTACTGTACAAAATAACTCGCATATGCTTGCAACTCTAATTGACACTCTCAATATCTACTGTATTACATGATCAATTATCGTTTGGCCGCTTAGAAAGCGACCTCCTCTAGCATTGGTTTAGTATTAGCATGCAGGTCGTTTTCTATGCGGCCGAACTATAGAAGCAAATTTTAAGTTTATAAACAATGGAGCAAGTTAACAGCATGCTTTCATCATTCTTACCTGCTGATAAATGATGGTGTGAGGATCAGTTTTGCCAGTGTCTCGGTGTTTGACCTTGATGTGGTAAATTATATCCTGTTTGAGCAATCTACTTAAAATTGTTTCTGATATACTGTCTGGCTTGAACGCATCCACAGCTGAAATAATGAATAAATACTTTAATACTTTACTTTAAAATTACGACCATACAAATGTAGAAATAATTAATTATTGAAGGTAGAAACTCAGAAACAGAAATAGTAAATACAACCACAGTAATGAAATGATACAGAAAGTGGTTATTCTTAGAAAGTTACTGTTTAGGATCTCTGGACCATAAACAGATGTTGTCTTGTTTGACCATCACTTACAAGGATTGGTCATGTAATGTTAGGAAACCGATCTACAGGGTTGGGCAAATGTGTGGATACCCCTAGTTAACTTTTTAATGGGTTATACCAGGAAAACTAAACTCCGCATACCTTCATAAGAAACAAAAATGCACTTTTTGGTAGGTATCACAATTTTGCCCGGGACCCCAAAATGGGGTATTTTGGGGGCAGCTCAACAATTTAAAATATAAAGCCCCATCGAGTGACACCTCATTTTAAAGGCCTTTACTAAAGAAGAATATCAGAGAAAACTAGAGGTCTCTATCTCAACCCAGTATGACATGGCGGTCATTTGAAAATTCATCGTACAATTTAACCTCATTAAAAGTTTCTCTCAGGCTGATGAAAATTTAAAATGACCGCCATGTCGTACTGGGTTGAGATAGAGACCTCTAGTTTTCGCTGATATTCTTCTTTAATAAAGGCCTTTAAAATGAGGTGTCACTCGATGGGGCTTTACATTTAAAATTTTGGAGCTACCCCCAAAATACCCCATTTTGGGGTCCCGGGAAAAATTGGGATACCGTCCAAAAAGTGCAGTTTTATTTTTTATGAAGGTATGTGGAGTTTAGTTTTCCTGGTGTCACCCATTAAAAAGTTAACTAGGGGTATCCACACATTTGCCCAACCCTGTATACTTAAATAAAACAAATCTGACCAAGTCTGACACTGATAGTAAAAAATGCAGTTGTCTTGTCGCAATAGTTCTGGTTAAGCAAGTTTTTACTAAATTATTACTTCTTTTATAGAGTTATTTTACAACCAATGAGTACCGAGCTCAGGTGGATGGAGGAATTCTAATTATAAGAGTGGCCTCCATAATATTACAACCAAAAGAGATCAAGGCAAGAACTGTTAGAATCACATGACTGTAACATTTACATTAGAAGGAACTTCTGAGCTTTTGATAGTCATGACTCAACTTACAAGTGCTCAGGAACTGGAATGTAGCAAGGGTGAGCTGGGGCGAAATGTGGATTCTTTGGTTTTCACTGCGTTCAGCAAATGAAGTGAAGTCCTTCTTGATGGAACGGTTTTGACTCCTCCTGTTTTTGGATCTATTATCATCTGTCATAAACAGGACATTTCTATAATACTGATTTACCAACAAATAAATATCACCTATTTGTACTTTTATTTGCTAATTATTATGTGATGAAGAAGTAAATTTATAAGTAGCGTCATGTTTTTTTTTTATTTTTTTATAATGAAGTGACATGCGAAGTCAATTTAAGTGAATTTAACACCTAAAGCCCTATGCCTATTTTCTTATATTTCTATGTTAATATTTTTTTAGATTATGTCCATATTTACTAAAAGTAAAAGAAAAAAAGACAAATCTGTGTCCTCCTCTATACTAATGTAAAAAGAAGAAAAACAGGTGTTGTGTGCAATCCCTAATACAATAAATAATGCTGTCAACTTCCATCCAATCCTGACACCGTTTATTTGAGGTGGGCCTCTCCCACCAGCTAAGGCACACATTGAGCTTAGTATATGGAGTGCACACGTATGGGAAAGACCTCAATGCTATACTTGTCAGTCTAACGCCTTAGCCATAGGGATGGACGAGATTGGATTTTTAGTTCGAGACGAGACGAGACGAGATTTTTTATTTCTCATAAAATTTCGAGACGAGATCGAGACGGGATATCCCTTCTCATACACAACGGGAAATGCACGTTCAAAATTTTTACCTGATTTTGTAACATTGTTTGTATGACTGTTTAAATACAAAAATAATGATAATAGGCAAGAATATTTACAATCTTTTGTTAAAAACATCAGCATAAATTTTTTTTAATAATCACGCCTAACTTATTAAAAATGCCTACGATTAGGAAACAAAGTGATATCAGTTAGGATAGAGTTCAACTTATCCTAAAATAAAATAAATCATAAAATAAAAGCAATATTAATTTTTATAAAATAGTTACTTGTTTTGACTTTTTATAGTAATAAAACATTTCTCACACTGCTTACACTTAACAAAACTTCTCAAATGTTATTAAAGTAATATTATTAAAATAATTAAAGTAATATTTACATTTAAAGAATTAATTAAATAAGAACGCCTTCGCAAAGGAAACGCAACTACAACACGCTCCTGTATTGCGGGTATTGCATTGACTTTCTGCAGGCGTTTTTAATTTTTTTTTACTTTTTTTTATTATTATTCTCGTCTTGATAAAAATCTCGGCCAAAAAGAAATCTCGTCTCGTGTAACGAGATTTAAAATTTCCCGAAATTTCGAGACTTGACCATCCCTACTTAGCCAACTGATCTAACATGCCACCGTCGGCCAGGCGTGAGAATCTGAGCTATAGCTCAGGCTTAGGTTTTTAAGTGTTAATGGCATATAGAAAACAATTTAAAAACAGTTTAATTTAGTTTCACACTCTAAAGACTTATACTTATAGACAATGCAGGAATAATAATGTACCTCGGAAAACCTCAAAGTAACTTATAAACTAAACCCTAAAAGTTACCTCCGAAAATTAAATAATTCATATTTTAAAACTCCTATTATCATTAGCTAGAGCATTCATGAAGAAAAAGAAATGCTGCTTACAGTTATTCACACACTGTTGTTCGGGATGTAGATAAATTTTGCTTGCTTAGTCACAATGTTGGAATGCATTTTCTCACAAATTTTGAAACATCGCCCCAATCATTTTTATATCTTGATAAGACAATGTATTTGAACAATAATTTGGGTATACAAATTTGAATTGTTATTTAAGGGAAAACTGAACGCTTATGAGGATTTGTAACACATTCATGTTTTGAAACCAATACAGTAGACTTCCTCTTATCCGGACACATTTTAACCGGACATCGGTTTAACCGGACTACACTCGGCGGAAATGACGACTCTTTAACGGACAATTTTTATTAGCACATTGGTTTAACCAGACTATATCGGCAGGAAGTGGGCAGTACTGAAACGACTGTTCTTGTGGGAAAGATTTGAGACCAGTGATCACATGTCTAAATACAATGCTCTCCTAAATTTAAGTAGAATATCACAGTAAACAGTCCGTTTTAACGAGTTTTTGGGGACGTCGGTTTAACCGGAAAACCCATTATCCGGACTGGCCTCGGTCCCGAGGAGTCCGGATAAGAGGGAGTCTACTGTAACGGGAGATGATTTTGATTCTAAGTAACATTAAATATCATAACCCTTTCTTATACAATTTGTAAAAGGTGCACATTGTAATATTTCATTTCATTCATTCATTTTTTTTAGCATTAAGTTTCTTAAAATGTTAACTTCTGTTCATACACCTTTGTTATTAATCACTCCTCAGAAAGGCTGGTCTAGTATTCATTTTCCTAATTTATATAATTTCATTAATCTGTTCATTTAATCACTAATAATATTCATTCCATAGCCTATATATTTTTTTTACAAAGCCCACAACTTAATCTATAATATTAAAACGAAACAGTGTTTTTTTATTTCACGATTCTGAATCAACCACTCGACGGATTTTCATGATTTTTGTGTTGAAAGAAAGATAATTTTGAGAACTAGGGAATGTCGAAGCCATAATTTTAGTTTAGGGTCCCAGTTTTTTAGAAATTAAGTTTTAATTTTTAAAAAGTCTAGCAGCCGACGCTAAGATTCTAAACTAGCTTTTTAAATAATTTCAAAATAATTTGCTTAACATAACAGCTGTAAACATTCAGCTTTTGTGTCACAAATTCAGCATTTGGATAAAAATGTAAAGACATACTTAGGGTTGACTATTTATACTATTAGGCCCCTGAATATGTGGTTTGATCTAGAAATAATTAGAACACAGATGAAACCATTGTTGTTCGATAGTGCAAAGTATTGTGAATAACATATCAAAAGTCTCCAAAAATATCTTTTGTGGAACACCACCATTTTTCCAAAATGGCGGCCAAATCCAGTAGTTTTTTGCTTTTTATTGAAATTCTGACTTTCCAGTCAATATTGGTGAAAAGTCGTCAATACATTTAATGTTCCTCCTGAAATTACCTTTAAAATGATACCAAATACATGTACCTACAACAAAAAATAAACCCCGTAGAAATAATAAAATATTTCAATTAAAAATGTCTGTTATAAATTAATGTAATAGTTCAAGCAAACTAAAAAAAACCAGACACAGGGATCGTATAAAAATTTTCAAGTAAACATGTTATGGTTTTATTTTTATTGTTGTAGTGTGCAGAGTGACATACCAAAAGTTGCAAAAATCAGTCCACAGGAAACCCCTAAATTAAGGAAAAAATGGCGGCTTTTCCCAATATTGGACAAATTTTGCAACAAAAGATACCAGATGTTTTTTTTTTGCACATATTTCGAGATATTGACTTGGAACCACGACTGATATTTATTGGATGGTCCGTACTTAATTTCAATAGGGAACGCTTTTTGGGCCGCCATCTTGGATCAGCCATATTGGATCTGCCATATGGGATATAAATATTTTTTTATGTAATTATAGTGTTGTGACACATCATTATGAACTAGATTTCCACGCTGATTTCAATGCTGAAATCCGTTTTTAAATAAGTTTTTTCGTTGCTTAAGATATATTAAAACGAAAACTCTCCCCTATACATCAGTTATGGACGTATCGAAAGTTACTTTGAAAATGTGTTTGGATTATTTTTCTCCAGGTATTATTATTGCTTGCAGTTCGTTCTAGCCTTAAAATATTCAGTGATAAAAGATCTTTCATTTTAGTTAGCTTTCATTTTGTTTTATTTATAGTTAAAACAGACTAGTTATAGACGAGGTACAAACTCCAACACAAAATTAAATTAAACTTTTTTATCTGTTTTTGTTAAAAGATTTATATCTCGGGTTGTTAATATGTTAACAAGTTCGTTCTGGTATCAAAGTACTCAGTAAATGTTTGGCTTTAATTTTATTGATTATTAAATAACACATGACAAATTTAAAACGAATCATGTAGGCCTACCTTCAATGAACTATTGAATGAATTATTGTTATTTTGAAATTTGTCTTTAGTTAAAGACATTTATCCCCAATTCTAAATAACACCCAATAAGGAATCCATAGCTAAAATAAAAGTCAATACTTGAACGAATAGCTATGATGAGTTTTTCCCGTTTTCACTCTGCACAACACTACAAAATAAAACCATAAAACGTTTTGTTGAAATTTTTTAAAGGCCATATCCTATATTTATCTAAATATAATTTCCAAGTTACACAGTTACAGTTATTTATAAGTACAGTTATTTATAAGTAAGTTAGTCATATGTACCATCAGTCAAACACCACTCCCAATCTGTTGGATCTGCTGGTGAACTATTTCCACGCCATACTTGAACCTGATAGTACAACCTTAGACTGTGGTAGTTTTCAATGTGTTTTTAAATTGTCAAAGTACAAAACGTCCATAAGAAATGTATGGGGGAGAGTTTTCGTTTTTATATATCTTAAAATCGTAAAACGCTATTTAAAAAATTGATTTCAGCATTGAAATCAGCGTGGAAATCTAGTTCATAAAGATGTGTCACAACACTATAATTACATTTTTTTTTTTTTTTTTGTCCTAGGACACTAGGCACGAGCCTGGGATTGTTTTTCACATTACTTCAGGCTAGACCTAGGGGTTGCGGCATTATCACTTAGATAAAATCCATTGGTGACTTGGCGGGGATCGAACCCGGGACCTCAGGGACTGAAGTCCCGCGCTCTAACCACTACGCCAGCTCGCTCCCCATTATAATTACATTAAAAAATATTTATATCCAATATGGCAGATCCAAGATGGCGGCCCAAAAAGCGCCCCCTATTGAAATTAGGTACGGACTATCCAATAAATATCGGTCGTGGTTCCAAGTCAATATCTCGAAAAATGTGCAAAAAACATGTGGTATCTTTTGTTGCAAAATTTGTCCAATATTGGGAAAAGCCGCCATTTTTTTCCTTAATTTAGGGGTTTCCCGTGGACTGATTTTTGAAACTTTGGTATGACACTCTGCACACCACAACAATAAAAATAAAACCATAACATGTTTACTTGAAAATTTTTATACGATCCCTGTGTCTGGTTTTTTTTTTAGTTTGCTTGAACTATTACATTAATTTATAACAGAATTTTTTTATTTAAATATTTTATTATTTCTACGGGGTTTATTTTTTGTTGTAGGTACATGTATTTGGTATCATTTTAAAGGTAATTTCAGGAGGAACATTAAATGTATTGACGACTTTTCACCAATATTGACTGGAAAGTCAGAATTTCAATAAAAAGCAAAAAACTACTGGATTTGGCCGCCATTTTGGAAAAATGGTGGTGTTCCACCAAAGATATTTTTGGAGACTTTTGATATGTTATTCACAATACTTTTCACTATCAAACAACAATGGTTTCATCTGTGTTCTAATTATTTCTAGGTTTTGCTATTTATTTTCTTATTTTAAGGCGCCTATATGTGTAATGCTAATCATTGATACTTTCAATTCTTCTGTAAGAGGATGACAGATTAATTAAATATACATAGTAAAATACTAGGATGTTCAAATTATTTTTTAAAGTAATCTTTGTAATCTTCGATTTGTTTTAGAGCAATATAATTTGTTTTAACTAACAGCTGGTTAAATATAAACTATGGAACTATGAGGTTATTTTATTTACTCTTATTTTGTCATTGATTATAGGAAATAAGTAAGAAGATTAGTAGGGATAATTAGACCTCAGTTTAAACCACAGTTTTAAAAAAAAATTATTAAACCACAGTACAAATCGAGGCTCTGTACACAAGTCTTAATAAAAAAGGATAAATGAAAATTTTTTACTACTCCACTTTTCAAGGAAAGATTAGAAAAATAACAATGTTTACATGTCTTAATTCTTAATGGTAGCTTTTTGTTAACAATTAAAGTTTGTCTGTTTTAACTTTGTTTGGATTAGGCCCGGAAATATTGATGTCATAAAAAGAAATCAAGAATAATCAGGAATCACGATTTTAAATTACCACCACCACCTCAGCCGGGTTTTATACAAAGATAAATAGATGGATGACATAGATTGGACACAACGTCAACATTGACCTAGGATACTGCAATTAGACAAACCATCCTTTTATGAAATCGTGTTCAGTTGTGGTTACGTTTAGGGGCGCCTATATCAGCGCCCCCAAACGTGAAAATATCACTTTTATTTCAACTATGAATATATTGTAGTTTAAATTAACTAATATGGGAAATTACGATGTACGTTTATTCAATGAGGGTGGGTAATTATCAAGGATAGAACTGATAACGGTATGTATAATAAACATTGGCAATTAGCTTTACTAGCGTGTTTACTTTTTATATTCCTGCTACATGCGACCAGTTCTTTTAGCGAATTTCCCTATAGGGAAGTAGCTATTACCGTAGGTGGCATGGTAAGACCTAGACCCGGGACCGATTTATTATTTTATTTTGATGTCCCCAGAGGCCAAAAACACTATTCGTTCAAATTTTTATATATATATATATATATACGTCCGTGAACGCGATAACTTGAGTAATTTTTGTCCGATTATGATGAAATTTGGTTTAAAGGTGTAAAGTGGAATAAACTTGAATGAGTTCGCGAACCAGCACGATCGGACCATGGGAACGGGGCTTTACGGGGGGTTTTATGGGGTAAAAATTGGTTTTTCTCACTTTTGACCCTCAAAACACAAAATTTCCCAATTTCTCTTTAGACCTTTTTAAAGAGCTTAAAAAAACAAATAATTTAGTATATAAAAGTATTTTTGTTCGATTATTAGTAACGGAGAAAATTTAAAAAATTGTAAATTTAAAATTCCCATGTTATTCTTATGGAGAATATTGTCAAATGTTGTAGTTTGCTTGTTTATGAATATATTTTGATCAATCTTGGCAAATTTATTTATTTTGTACTAAGCTATCAATATTTTACTCAAAAACACACTTTATTAGTTTCCTTGTAGCAGCAAACCTAGGTACTCATTAAACCTAATGTTATTAAAATATATTTAACTGAAAATCAATACAGACAAATGGAAATTCGCTTAGTCGGCAGGTTTGCTGCGGCGGGGGTATTTTCCAAATGAATGTTATTTGAACCAAACAGCTGTTTCAAAACAAACTGTTATTGTTTTTACTTTTCTTTGTTTACACTTATTTATTTAGCAATTAATGCAGTGAAATTGATGTAAAGAATAGGTGTGACGATTAGTTTTGACGTTAGGACACCAAAGTTAAATTATGTGTACTGTGAATTTTATTGGATATTATCGTTTTATTTTAGGTTGTTTCTATTCAGACCTACTGGAAATTGTGTATAGTAGTTGTATTGTGGTGATAATAATTATGGAAGAGGCAGGTATGCTATGGAAGGTGGTATCGTTGACTAGGTCTATACACTTCTCAATTGACTATTACTCTCTCTACTGTAGGCTACTTATAATCAGTGTGCTGCGAATCGGCTGCAAATCTCACTTCAACACTATTCACATCATAAAAATTGCAGAATTGCTGTTTTATTGTAAAACTAGCTGTGTACCCGTTCTACGCACGGGGATCTTATAATATTCAGTTGAAACCTTCTTATATAACGAACAGCAGTTGGTTTGCATATTTTAAGATATGCTGGCCAAACTATTATACATAGCTTCATTTTATGTTGTTTTTTGTTGTTCCGGATCGGTATGACAATCAATAAAAGGTTAAATTACCTCTGTGTCTGCCGGTCGATCCTATAACGGTAGGCTTACTTTTATTTTTACTATCTGATCTCGTTTGCATGGCTCAATCACGTCCTGGTTGAAGTTCGTTCGCTACGCTCACTCACCTGTATGTTGGAGCTCGTTCGCTGCGCTCACTTTCCTTCAGGTTAGCTCGTTCGCTACGCTCACTTGCCTTCAGGTTAGCTCGTTCGCTACGCTCACTCGCCTCCAGGTTGCAAATTAGCTGTTGTCATAAATGTAAAAGAAATAATAGTGCTAGTGCTGCACCCTGTTGGTAATCCTTGTAACTTTAATGCTATTGAACATCACAGAACAGAACCAACTTGTTTAATTGAAACAGCTGTTAAGATTCAATAATTTCATTTCTCATAAGGTTAACATGGGCTTCCAGAAATTCCACGTCAAAAATCGACAAAAACTTGATTTTCAAGGGTTTACTGTTAAATATCTAACTGTCTCATATTCGATGAAATACGTCTAAAACCATCTCATATATGTATAGTATTTGGAAAATAAGTTTCAGGCGGGACAGTGCTATAGTTATTGAGGAGTAGTTGTAATAAAGTGCGTATTTTAGCGTTACCAAGAGAATGACAGATAGACAGACAGACAGACAGACAGACAGACAGACAGAAATTGAGATAAGGTTTGATTCGGTTTCTCTGACCTATGAAATGTAAAAATAACCAAAAAGTTCATTATTCTAAGCAATGTACAGACAAAACTCTAATTTTATTTATATAGATTGTCGGATTTAAAATGCATATCGTATAGGCCTATGATAGAATAAAAACATATTTGGTCACACAAAATTTGTTTTGATTTAATACATATTTCAGTATTTTCTGTGAAATAACTTGTCTATGCAGTATTTTGTGTGTGTATGATACATTATAATTTTTGAGTAAAGTTCGTGAGTCATGGAAATCAATGGTAAATGGTCATGGATAGTCATGGAAAGTCATGGAAATCAATGACAAATTTTCTGTGGACACCCTGTCTTACTTATTTCCTATAATCAATGACAAAATAAGAGTAAATAAAATAACCTCATAGTTCCATAGTTTATATGTAACCAGCTGTTAGTTAAAACAAATTATATTGCTCTAAAACAAATCGAAGATTACAAAGATTGCTTTAAAAAATAATTTGAACATCCTAGTATTTTACTATGTATATTTAATTAATCTGTCATCCTCTTACAGAAGAATTGAACGTATCAATGATTAGCATTACACATAGTATAAATAGTCAACCCTAAGTATGTCTTTACATTTTTATCCAAATGCTGAATTTGTGACACAAAAGCTGAATGTTTACAGCTGTTATGTTAAGCAAATTATTTTATGCCAAAAGCTAGTTTAGAATCTTAGCGTCGGCTGCTAGACTTTAAAAAAATTAAAACTTAATTTCTAAAAAACTGGGACCCTAAACTAAAATTATGGCTTCGGCATTCCCTAGTTCTCAAAATTATCTTTATTTCAACACAAAAATCATGAAAATCCGTCGAGTGGTTGATTCAGAATCGTGAAATAAAAAAACACTGTTTCGTTTTAATATTATAGAAGATCATCAAGAAAAACCCAGTTTATATTCAAGTTATATTATAGTCAACCTCAAGGGGACTAACTCCAACATTATCTTAAAAATTAAGTACCTATAAACTTTTCTTTTAAACTCTTTTAAATTCAGTGCACATTGGACTTACCTTTTGGACAACATCAAAATTAGATTTTTCACTGTTGGGATTTTGTAAGTTTCATTTTGTAACACCTTAATTATTTGGACACTATTTAATCTATTAATTCTTAGCATTCAAGCCAGCACGACAGCCTACCCTGAGATATAGCACATCTAAATTATTTGAACCTTTATTTCATACTTATCTTCTATTTTATTTTAATTTCAACCCCCACACTCCATTGTCAGTCCTTTTATTATAAAGTTAAGCCTTTTAAATTCCATTGAATGTTTGTTCATTTGTTTCAATAAAACACCTTTTGTAATTTGTATATCTTTGTTAACTTATTAACTTTAAGCATTTATAGAATAGGCCTAGCCTAAAATGAATATTGTTAGGTGAGTTTACAACATATTAAGTAACATTTTAAAGGTATTCATCAAATATGTTTTACAAACAAATTGTGATAGGATAGATATGTCTATAAAAAGAACAAATGGAAATCCCCTGTGGAATGGTATGTAATGTATTACTGAATGCAATGACGTTGGAAGGTTGAGTCACTTTGTCAAGTTTCACTACTTACTCCAGACATCAGTTTCGTCCATGATCTCTGCTTGTATGAGCTCCTCGATGACGTCCTCCAGTGTAATTAGCCCGACAGTCTCGTAGAATGGGTCAGTCTCTCCCTCGTTGTTTACTCGGTGGACAAATGCCATGTGACCCTTGATACCTGCAAAACAAGAAAATAGAATCTCACAATACAACCCTGCAGCGTCGTAATGAAATGTATTTAATAAAAATAAATATACGGAAATGGGATTTGTACAATTTTCTTCAGAATTTAAAGGACTATAACATACTAAATTGTTATCAAAATCGTTCGGGCCAATTTTGGGGAAATCTGATTTTCCGTTATTTTATGGGGTTTTTATGGGAAAATAACATAATTTACAATAACTTTTGAATCGTAATTTTTACAGAAATGGGATTTGTACCATTTTGTTCAGAATATAAAGGACTATAACATACTAAATTTTTATCAAAATCGTTCGGGCCATTTTTGGGAAAATCCTATTTTTCCGTTATTTTATGGGGTTTTATGGGAAAATCCCCATTAAAAATAAAAATTTCTAAAAAGTGAAAAAAAACTATCAAAATTGTAAGGACCATAACATACTATGTTAAATCAAAACCGGATCTTTGTCTAAAACCCTATTTTTCGTTATTTTATGGGTTTTTATGGGAAAATAACATAATTTACCATAACTTTTGAACCGTAATTTTTACAGAAATGGGATTTGTACCATTTTGTTCAGAATTTAAAGGGCTACAACATACTAAATTTTTATCAAAATCGTTCGGGCCATTTTTGAGAAAATCCGATTTTTCCTGTTTTTTATGGGTTTTTATGGGAAAATCCCCATTAAAAATCAAAATTTCAAAAAAATGAAAAAAACGCCTGGAGATACCATGGATTAGAACCTACATACCAAATTTCATCGAAATCGGACCACAGGTGTAGTCTCTAGCTCTGTACACATCCAGACACACAGACACACACACACACACACACAGACATCACTTCGAAAACCACTTTTTTGGGTCCAGGGGGACCCAAAACGAATATATCCACTCAAAACTCAAACTCGAAAATTTTGACGAAAACAATACTTTCTCCATATATATACTATGGTATAGGGGGAGAAAGTAAAAATTAAGAAATTCCAACCACATGTTTTATTTACAGCCTGGGGTGAAAATAGAGAAGTCTGTTCATTACATATTTTGGTTGAGTTTTCGACCACTAGACTACCCCTAGTTTGAATAACTTGTAACACAAAGAACAATACAAAATACAAGGGTCATCTAGAAATTAAAGAACAAATGCACATAGCACCCTGAACAGATTTCCTAGCCATGTGGTGTGCAGCCTCTTGCCTCTTGCTTTCTCTTCAGTGTAAGCCAGTCTTGTTGCTATGCAGTCACCCTACTTTTATTACAGTGTTTTAAAATGGTGACACTAATTAAAAATACCACCAAATACTTACTTTCCATGTCCGGAAATCAGACTTCGCTTTTCCAAAAATTAGCTACCAATATGGCTTTGTCACTCGATTGTAAAGTGTCATTTAATGTGCAAGACTGGTCTAGGCGTGGACAGATCAGCAGATGGCCAGGACAGCCACCACACGCACACAATATGTTTTCTTCGTCTGGTGAGAGACCCCATTTCCGCATGTTTGTCTTGCATTTTGGTACCTCGACCCTGATTCGATTTAGGGTCTTCCACACCGTGTAATGAAGGCCTCCACCAGGAGCCAGTTCCTCCCTGGCTGGTATGGGAGGGTTAGTCAACAAGCCTCCCACCTTGCCACCCGATTGCGTGAGAGTGATCCATCCAGGACTCGTGTCCGTGATAAAAAGCTCTTTCTGGACCAAAGCCGTCGCTCTGCAGGTTGGTGGCCGTGTAATGGGTGACGAGGGTCCGTCTCTTGCTTAGTCCTTTCTGCGTTGGCAGCGACATCAAGTCGGATTGGTGGAGAAGCGATCCCTATGATAGGATAGAGTTTGTGTACTGGGGTTGGTTTCAAACACCCAGTTACAATCCGAGCCATGTCATTGACTGCAATGTCAACCTTTTTTGTATGTGACGATGCATTCCATACTGGTGCAGCGTACTCCGCATACGACACACTGAGCGCTAAAGCTGAGGTTCTGAGGACATTAGGTAGGGATGGACGAGATTGGATTTTTAGTTCGAGACGAGACGAGATTTTTTATTTCTCATAAAATTTCGAGACGAGATCGAGACGGGATATCCCTTCTCATACACAACGGGAAATGCACGTTCAAAATTTTTACCTGATTTTGTAACATTGTTAGATGATTGTTTAAATACAAAAATAATGATAATAGGCAAGAATATTTACAATCTTTTGTTAAAAACATCAGCATAAATTTTTTTTATTAATCACGCCTAACTTATTAAAAATGCCTACGATTAGGAAACAAAGTGATATCAGTTAGGATAGAGTTCAACTTATCCTAAAATAAAATAAATCATAAAATAAAAGCAATATTAATTTTTATAAAATAGTTACTTGTTTTGACTTTTTATAGTAATAAAACATTTCTCACACTGCTTACACTTAACAAAACTTCTCAAATGTTATTAAAGTAATATTATTAAAATAATTAAAGTAATATTTACAATTAAAGAATTAATTAAATAAGAACGCCTTCGCAAAGGAAACGCAACTACAACACGCTCCTGTATTGCGGGTATTGCATTGACTTTCTGCAGGCGTTTTTAATTTTTTTTTTATTATTATTCTTGTCTTGATAAAAATCTCGGCCAAAAAGAAATCTCGTCTCGTGTAACGAGATTTAAAATTTCCCGAAAATTTCCCGAAATTTCGAGACTTGACCATCCCTAACATTAGGGTTAGTACCCCAGCATCTGCTGGTGAGCTTCCTGATGATATTATTCCTCGCTAAAACTTTACCCTTTGTCGGAATACAATGCGCCTTAAATGTCAGTGTGCAGTCCAGTATGACACCAAGATATTTGGGTGTAGGACAATGCTGAAGACGCCACCTCACATTCAACTCACTAGTACTGGGAAAGTTCATTTAGAGTCATAGTCAGCTTCTGTTCCACCTCTTCAAAACTCCTACCTTGTGCCGCCACCGCCGTATCATCGGCATATACAGGGTGAGTTTTAATTGTCCCCCCCTCCAACTTTTTTCTACATTTTTTCAAATATCAATCCCAAACCACTTCCAAACATTGTTGGGTAGTAAGTACTTTATTTTGACAAGGTGGTCATTTCCGGCCGCCATCTTGGATCCGCCATATTGGATGCAAAATTTTTTTTTCAAATGTAAAGGGGGGGATGTGACCCATTATTTCGAACTACATTTTTACCCTGATTACAATGCCGCAAACCGTTTTTAAAAATCTTGATTCATTCTAAAGTTATGAGGGCTTTTTAAAACTTTATTTTTAGCCCATTTTAACATTGTGCATTTACAAACTAAGACCATAATCTCAAAATAGTGCTAGATAAAGATAAGTATACACTACCAGTAATTGTCGACCTATTTTCACTTGGTTATGATTGATGTATTATTTTTGGCCGCCATCTTGGATCCGCCATTTTGAAATGTGATAAATTATTTTAAATATGAAGGGGGTGTTGTGACCCATCATTTTGAAGTACTTTTTTAAGCTCAACTCAATGCCGCAATCCATTTTTTGTTATCAAGTTTTGTTTATGAAATATTGCAATTTTTTTGTTAAAAATGTCAATATTTCAACATCAAAAAAATGAAAATGAAAAACGGATCATGGAATTAAGTTCAGCTTAAAAAAGTAGTTCGAAATGATGGGTCACAACACCCCCTTCATATTTAAAATAATTTATCACATTTCAAAATGGCGGATCCAAGATGGCGGCAAAAAAAAATACATCAATCATAACCAAATGAAAATAGGTCAACAATTACTGGTAGTATCTACTTATCTTTATCTAGCACTATTTTGAGATTATGGTCTTAGTTTGTAAATGCTCAATGTTAAAATGGGCTAAAAATAAAGTTTTAAAAAGCCCTCATAACTTTAGAATGAATCAAGATTTTTAAAAACGGTTTGCGGCATTGTAATCAGGGTAAAAATGTAGTTCGAAATAATGGGTCACATCCCCCCCTTTACATTTGAAAAAAAAATTTTGCATCCAATATGGCGGATCCAAGATGGCGGCCGGAAATGACCACCTTGTCAAAATGAAGTACTTACTACCCAACAATGTTTGGAAGTGGTTTGGGATTGATATTTGAAAAAATGTAGAAAAAAGTTGGGGGGGGGACAATTAAAACTCACCCTGTATATACTGACATTTAGCGTTTGGCAAAGGTTGGTCGTTAGTGTATATGTTATAAAGAGCTGGGGCTAAGACCCTACCCTGAGGCAATCCATTTTTTTGATTCCTCCATCTACTTTTCTTGCCTTGAAGGGACACGAAAAACCGCCTGTTATGAAGAAAAGTGCTTATCATTGAAGTCAGCTGATAGTCTTTGGTAATGCTGTACACTTTTCCCAAGAGTATTTGATGGTTTACGGTATCGTAGGCAGCTGTTAATTCTACAAAAGCATCACCCGTGATCTGTTTTCTCTCAAACCCATCCTCAATGTGCTGGGTCAGGTTTAAAACTTGGCCACAACAAGACTTGCCTGATCAAAAGCCTGCCTGTTGTTGAATGATTTTTTGTTCCAAAAGATCACCGATTCGATTGAGTATCAGACGTTCTAAGATTTTATATGTGTGGCATAAGAGAGAAACAGGTCAAAAGTTCTTAGGATCGTTTGGATCTTTCCCAGGTTTGAGCAGTGCAGCCACACGAGCTTTCCTCCATGCCTTTGGTATATGCATTTCGCTTACACACATATTCATGAGGCTCAACAACCATTGCATGGCATTTTTACCTAGGTTCTTTAGTTGTTAGACTCTGATCTCGTCAATACCTGGAGCCCTATTAGTCTTTAAGCTGGTAATGACTGCAGTTAGCTTGGACATGGTGAATGGTTCTTCCAGGAAGTGATTCTCACTTGCCACATCACGCACAACAGGCTCCCGGTATTTCCTTCCATAGGTTTTGCCATTTATTTAAAAGAAGGTTGGTAGCGACTTGATCGGCAGTAACTGTTGTAAAGTTGTCTTTTGGTTTTGT